ATTTTGAAATTTCTTGTGTGTGCTTGTTTTGAAAAGTTTGCTTAACTTCGTTTTAACCCTTGTTTCTGTCCTCAAGAGTGTTACGAAGTTGTTTTTGAAAACTTTGTTTGGAAAGTGTTTGTGTGAAAAGTTTGTTTGTTAGAGCAAGTACTTAAGAACTAATCTACCTAATCAAAAAAAGTTGTTTATTTTCCTTTTAGACAATGCTATCCCATTATTGAGAAATAGGTAGCATCGTCGTTGGAGTTTTAAGGGACGTTCAAAGGGACAAGTACGATCATAAAGTCAATGTTAGGAAATGTTAGTAATCATCCTAAAACCTTAAAGATCTTTTTTCCAAGGCAACATCTGAGTGGATCATTTTAGATCTTTTAGGACTAGAGGACGACCACTAACAATCCCTATACTTCATGACCGTTTAACCGAAGGCAACCGGAGTGGAGTAAACCCTAGGAGTGAGCATGTGCGAGTGTATGTTTTCAGTTAATTTATCTTTGCACATTTAGGGTTTTCTACCGTTTTAATTTTTAGTTAGTCTTTCCATACAATCCTATTAACATACATCTAAGCAATTTATAGTTTGCAGAAATTAAAGCGAGAAAGTTAAAGTCCTAGCTATTACAAGACTTTTGCAAATACATAATTATTTTGACTGAAAATAAAAATGCGGAAATTTAAAACCCTAATTAATCTATTACAACCTCGAAACAGTTACAATAATAATAAAAGGAAATTAAAAATGTGCGCGGAGAATTAAATGCGAGAATAATTGAGAAACCTAGAAAATATAGTTGAAAAATATTTAGGTTATTTTTGAGAAAAGATTAATTAGGTTATGTACAAATTAAACCCTAATTTCTAATTAATTAAATTATGAAAAAAGGATTAAATTTCCCTAAATAATTAAAATAATTAATTAAGGAAATAAAACATTTTTTATGAAAAAAATGATTTTTATGTTTTTTGTGATTTTTTGACTAAATAAAAAAAAGAAATAATTTTGATGTTATTTTGTGAAAAAAAGAAATAATTAGTGAAATAATAAATAAATAAAAGAAAATTAAAATAGAAAAGAAAAGAAATTGGGCCTGTGTTATAAGCTGAAAGGGAGGTGTATGCTGAATTATTCAAGCCCAATAGTTGCTGAGCCCAGTCTTTGCGTGAGATTATGTGTTGGCCAGGCTTGGAGATGTACCATAGTCATCCCTTGATGGGCGTTGGATCTGGCTAGGAAATGATCCAATGGTTGAGATCTTGGGTTGCATGGTGGATGCCTTGGTGCGTGGAGTATGGACCATGTTATCAAATATTAAGAAAAGAAAGAAAACGCTGGGACCTGGGATCGAACCCAGGTCCTCTTACTTTCAAACGTGCGCCTTTGCCACTGGACCACCTGTCTGAATTATTAATAATAACAACAATTAATGATATAATGCAAACACAAGTGGATAACTGAATAATAAAAAACACGCGCTTTTTATTCAAATGGGCCAATGGTTATCAGCCACATATCTTTTTCTTCCCCTGTCCGTCGTTTTAGGTTTGCAACTTTTACCTACGGACAAATTTCCATGGCTATAACCTTGTAACTTTCAAAAATCAACAACAAGCGTGATAAATTAATTCCAAATCTATGGATCAACTCGTCTTGATGCCACGAGCATCATGGTACCCTTTTCTTGGGCCAATTTAACCTGTATAAAAAACCCCTAAAACGGAAAAGCAAACCTTAGCAATGACAATTATGAGTATAGGCACTGAATCATCAATTAAACCATTCAAACATGTGGAAAATATGTCAATGAACATAAATATATCATTAGAACATGTTTATGATGCAAGGATTGCTGTAATCGAATTTGAAAAAAGAAGCAAACCGCGTGGGTGTATGTGACAATTATGGGCTTGTGGAAACTTGTAATTGATCGTGCTAGCTTCTGGGAAGGTCCAGGAAACGATTGGGAGTGTTGAAATGCTTTGAATTGCCCTCTAGGTTGGAAAATGATTCACCACTTTTTGTCAATTTTTTCAGTTTTGTTTCCAGCTTTCACGACCTCTAAACCTTGTTCTTGCGCCTTGGTTATGGTCAGCATATATACTAGAGCATATTAGGTCAACAAAAATGCTTTGTATCTTTTTGATTCATGGAGATTTGATTTAGTTTTGCTTTGTATAATATCTTTCCAAAACAACCATAATCATGCTATTTTTGCTTCAATTTCCCTTGATCTGATTTGGACATGATATGCTAACTTGATTGGATTTGATTCCTACAAAAAATCAGATCAAAACCAATCTTTTTATATTTTTTGCAATTTATTTGATTTATTTTAACCTTTAAATAATAAAAAATCAAAACAAATAAATAAAGAAAAAAATGTGTGGGTGCTGATTTGGGTCGTGGACCATGTCACAAGAAAGATGCAATCATGAGAAGCTAGGCCCATTTGACAAAAAAAAGCACTTTTGAGCATATTTGACTTTTGGCAATTTTGCAAAAATGGTCAACTTTGACAAGGCATATCTCCTCCAATTTTAACCCTAGAGATGTGTTCTTGGACTTTTTAGAAAGCTTAGGATGTCCCCTAAACAACCCTTTTGGTTTCATCTCAATTGGGTCTTCCATGTTCATGTAAGAAGCTTTGACCCAAAAGGTGTTTTTGTTGACTTTTCAAAAGGACCTATAATGTATTAATTCATATCTTTTGATGAGTGCATATTTTGAACTTGTGGGCTGAAGATGAGTTATAAGAGAATTGCATCCTCTTAAAAATGAGCCTTGGATGGAAAATTTCTTATAAAGTATGAAGAAGTTATGCCTGGTCAAAGTTTGGTTGACTTTTCCTGAGAAATACTAATTTAGCAACTTTTGGGTTTTGATGAATTTGGGGCATTCCTTGGGGAATCATGATAAAACCTTGATCAAATGATGTATATCTCTTCAAAATGTTAATGTTGACCAAAAATCTTGAAGTTTGACTGTATGTGGGCCACAATTGACTTTTGACCTAGTGTAGTTGATTTTCAGGCATTTGAGCAGTTGACTGAGCAAACTTCTTGTGCAAGTTATAAAACTTAACATGGATGATCTTGAGGACACATTAGGACCATGGAAAGCATTTTGGGCCTTTGTAGTTCACACATCTTGATAAAAATGGAAACCCTAGTTTGAGATTCATTGCTTTAGGAGAGAGTTTGTCTGGTCAAGTCTTGGGTATCCTTGAGCAAGTTAGGAGCCTCAATGGGAATGTGTTGAATAAAATGAGATGGCAAATTTTGGGGTACAACACATGGAATTTAATATTGAATTCAAGGGAAAAAAACACAAACCGGTGGAGTTTGAAGCACGAGTTCCAGACACCAAATCTTCTAGTTCTTGGGCTGGATGTGTTCATGAGGACTTTAGGAAGAGGTTTGGACACTTCGTTTGACTTGAGAGTGGCTGGATCGTGTGATACAAATTTGCATTTTTCTTGAAAATTTTGAGAGGTTTTTGAAGTGGTTCTTGAGGCAGCTTTTTGTGTGTTCTTTGCACTTGAGTATTGCATGTATTTATAGAGGAATGAAATGGAACAAGAACAAGACAAGAATCTTGTACCATCATGTCACAATTTATTACAAAAAAAACACATTGAAATCTTTCCAAAATTGTTAAAAAACATTCCAAACTTGAAGATTCTTGTTCCCAACATGGTTTCACGGTTTTGGCATGTTTTCGTGTGTTATTGGGCCTCCATGTGATTGAAATCAAAAGCTCATGCGCCTTGGACCAATGATTTTATATTTTATTTGATTTACTTGCATTTAAATGAATAAAAGTTCAAATAAAAGAAATAAAAATCATAAAAAATATATGAATTAACTTAGAGGTCTTCTAACATATTATGAATATTTTTCAACATCAAAAGTTAGGCCCATTAGTCTAGAATTTCAAGTTTGCTCACTTTTCATTTCATGCATTTTACCAAAATTTCCCAATTTGCAATGGTCATAACTCTCTCAATTTTCATTTTTTGAAGATGATCTTGGACTTTTTGAAAATCTCAAGTTGTCTTCTTCAATTTCTATTATGATCATTTTTGCATTTGTAGACTTTATCTTGATGTAAGATGCCTTGACAAAAAGTGTCTTTTTGTTGACTTTTGAAATGACATGTAATGTATGGGCTCATATATCTCAAATGAAGCATTTTTTGGACTTGAGCATACATATAAAAAGTTATAGAGAATTGAATTCCCTTCAAAATGGTCTTTGGTTGGGGAAAAGTTGATGAAGCATGTGAGAGTTATGCTTGGTCAAAGTTTAGTTGACTTCTCCTAAGGAAATCCTAATTTGACAACTTTTGACTTTTGATGATTTGAGGGCTTTCCTTGAGGAATCATGATCAACCCTTGATCAAATGATGAATATCACTTGAAAATGTTAATATTGACCAAAAATCTTGAAGTTTGACTGTATGTTGACCACAATTGACTTTTTACTCAATATAGTTGACTTTCAGTCATTTGAGCCATTGATTGAGCAAACTTGTGATGCAAGGCTTGAAACTTGACATGAGCATTGTTGAAGACCTATGGAGAACCATGAAAACCATTTGAGACCTTTTAAACCCATTCTTATTTGCGAAATATGAAACCCTAGTTGTGGACCCATTGCTTAGGAGGAGAATTTGTCTGGTCAACTCTTGAGAATCCTTGAGCATTTGAGAACCCTAGAAGAATGTTTTGAAGAAAATGGGAGGATAAATTTTGGGGCACAACAATGCAGTAGGAATCTAATTAATTCCTCATGAAAAATTTTACACTCTTTAACTGAATCAACCTTCATGCATAAAATGAAGTTTATGATGTTTGAGAGAAAAGATGAATTTTCTAGAAAATTACTCACTTGATGTATGATCTGATTATGAACAAAAGAAGAGAAAATACATTTATATGTGATTGTAAAAGAGCACAAAAATAGTGTAAAAAATACCTTTTAGTTTGAGTAAAAACACATAAATGAATAAAGTCAAGAGACAAAATGAACCGAATCAAGTATATGAAAAGGCTAAAAAACCGTCATTAGTCAAGTCATGACTTAAGTCACGTGAATTGAATCACATGATTACAAAAATCAAGTCATGTATCGTAAAATAAAATATAGTTTGAAAAATAACCATTTGAATCGATTCATAGGTTTTCGTGAATCGAGTCAAAAAACCAGAAGTGAAAATCTTTGTAAAAATATTGATCATGACTCGATTCAAATGGAACCATGAATTGAATCAAGTTTTTAAAATCAAAATGATTTTAAAAAACATACCCATGACTCGATTTAAATGGATTCTTGACACGAGTTACATATCCCAAAATTAAATTTCTGAAACACATATGGCCATGCTCGATTCGAGCTTTGTCATGACTCGTGTCATGCACTCTAAATCTACGCGATTCAATTCAAGCATTTTCTTGACTCGAGTCAACTATGTTGATTTTGATCAAAAGTATATTTTATGCATACAAATACCATTTTAAAAGAGGTGCAAATTTTTTGTGAGAGACTCAATTATAATAAAATAAACTGAAAATACAAGCAACAAAATACCCTAATTATAGAGCGTTACACTAGGAGCAATTTCAATTATGATTAAGAATAATTGAGATCACTTTTGCTTTTACTTTGAAAAGCAAGTTAGCCTCCCTAAATCACAAATTTTCTTTTTAAAAACACTCGCCATTACAAAATTCATTATCACTACCCTTGTTGTGGTTAATATGATCATCTCGCGAAAGACATTTACTTCTACTTCTTTTTGAAGTTTTGTCTTTCATGAATTAATCAAATTTAAAATGTGAGATCAAACATATTTCCAAAGAAATTAAAAGTTATGCAAATTCTTCAACAAATATCACTCACAATGACGAATTTGATTTCATAAAGTTTATAACTTTTCATACTTTTTTAACATTGTTATTGTCTGATGTTATAGAGTGATCTCTCCTGTTGTATTGTTCTTAGTTGTCATTTTTAAATCACTCTTCAATAGAAATAAAATAAAAAAGTCACCATTTTTAAAATTTGTCCATGAAAATAAAATTCTCAAATCTAGGTGTTTTGTTTAAAGTTATAAAGTAAGATTCTCATAAATGTTATATTGAAATTACAATAATCTTATGTTTGTTTCAATTTAAAAAAAAAATATTCTTGAGTATTTTTTATTTTTGAGAATGTTGTTTCTACATGATTTTTCTCATATTATTTCCATTTTAAAGGGTGGAAATCTAATATTCTCATGGAAATAAAGTTTAACTAACTTAACTTCACACTAATATTCACAATTACTTTTATTTTTATTTTTATAGTTATTAATTTAAATTAAATTTGTAAACATATCAGGAAATTCAATTTTTCACCAAACACATGCATGGAAATAATATTCCTAGAAATAATAATTTTGGAAATATAATTTCAAAAAATAATATTTCATAACTTGAAACAAACACACCCTAATATTTTACTTATATTTTCAATTAATTTTTTATTTAAATTTGATTTAATATCCTAATTCCGTATTAACTTTAGGATTTAAAGTTTATGATTCAGATTCATTTTAATCTTTTAACTTAAAAAAATTTAAATTGATTTTTTATCTTTTCAAAATATATCAATTTTTTTATTTAATTAACGAGGAATTTAACTATTAATTTTTAAATTTTTTATCAAATAAACGAAAATGATCATCGTAATAAATTTTGAAGAGATAAAAAACCAATATGATTTTTTTAAATTAATTAATTAAAATAAATCTTGAAGTTAACGTATGGCACCGCATGACAAAAAAATTAAACCATTAAATTTTTATTCTATTCAATTTTCGCTCTTTTTAGTTTTTAGTTTTATTACTATATGTTCATTTCATCATCTCACACTTCCTTTGCACGCCACTGGTTCCTAGTGTGATATTTCATTTCTTCTTCACCATTCCTCTTCTTTCTACTGCGCTTCTTCAGGTTTCTCTCTCCATTTGTTTAGTTCATTTTTCAGAAAAAACTTCATTATAGCGGGCGCGGAACTCCACGACGGAAGCTACATACATGCGCCGTGAAATGCATCTGAGGCTGCCGCGACGGCAGTTACACGCGCCGTGAAATGCATGCGAGGCTACCGCGACAGCGATGCGCGCCGTGAAATGTATGCGAGGCAACCGCGACAGCGAAGCGCGCCGTTCTGTTCTCGTGAAATGTATCTGAGCGGCCGTTCCTCTCCGCACCACCGCGAACACGCCGGTTTTGGCCGCGATTGCCTCCATTTTTTTTTTAATTTCCGATTTCATCATGTTTGTTTATAGTAATAAACTAATCTCAGTTAAGACATTTATTTAACCTAGAAATTTATGTTAGTTAAGAAATTAATGTAAACTAGAAAGTAATCGTAACTGATTTTGTAATTGTATATGTAAGCTTAATCAAGCAATGTCGACTCAAAAGGGAAGCATGGATAGTGGATCTGCTAGGAAACGTATGAGACCTGAGGTATTTGTTTTCAACTTTGATCAATTTTTACTGCATTTCTAGCATCATTTGAGATTTCATTTGCTTTTCTTTTGACAACAAACAGGTACAGGAAAAGATTGGAGATGAAGCAGAATCACAGATTGTACTTGTACAGGATGAAGGATTTGAGACTAACCAGCTCGTTGGATCCGAAGATATGGAACTTAATATTTCTCTCGTTCTCGAGAAGATTGAGAACTTTACTCAGAGGGTATCTATTTGCTATATATAATTGGTTACACACTCTTTGAAGCTTGAAATCATACTCTAGAATTTTGAATTGCTTAATTTTGAAATGCTTGTAGGTATCTGAGCTCTTAGAATCAGGGAAAACAATGTTTAAGGATCTCTGTAATGAATTTGAAGAGAAACTGATCATGTGAGATATCAAGTTATCGTTGAACATTCACTTTCGATATTGTTAGTTTTTGATAATTTATGGTATGATTCTTGTAAATTTCTAATATGCAGGATTCACAAGGAGCAAGTCGAGAAATGGCAGGAAGAAATCAAAGAATTGCGTGCACTTGATGCGTCAAATGAGGAAGCCAACACTCTTCTGCAAAATGCTCGATATGTACTTCAGCTCAGCCGTAATGATTAATGAAGGTAGTAAGTAGCCTTGTGTCTATATTCATGTATAATCTGTCACCCCCAAACATTAATCAGGTAAAAAGTATACTTCGATAGAAGAGATGTGAATGTGCCAACCCTGGAAATACTTGGCCAGTTTTGGATCATTAGGATCCAATTCATTTCTGATGGACTGTGTTTGACAGGTTATCATTAGATTAAACTTTAACTTGAAATATATACACATGAGTCACAATATTTGGTTAATCTTGTTAGAGGTATAGAATATATTTTAATAGTAATGAGTAATGACAGATTAATCTGTAGCATCTTAGTTTGAAGGATGACATTTCAAGAACAGGACCGTTGTTTTTTGAGTTTTCAAGTGCTGCATGGTAAAAATTTGCACGATTCCAACCTTTTTCCCCCCTAAATGCATTTTTTGTTTTGACTTGCCCCTGTTTGAATTCAACTTGCCTTGGCCAATTCTTGATGATGATTTGAGCTTTGCTAAAGCCTATCATTATTGAAATAGTTTATACTGAGAATTTAAGATGATTACTAGAAGGTTTTTGAACGTTTACATTTTGTGCACTGTTAGGAAAAAAAACTGTGTTAATGAATATTGAATTGAATTGATTATGTAGATGGTTAAATGACAGGAAATTTGTTCAACATTTTTAATTTAACTTTCTTTTGCTTTGTGGTAAGTGAAAGAGAAAAGTTTGAGATTATTTTACAATTACTATATTGAGTAAGAAAATGATTAGCCATAGGAGGGAAGAAGAGATCATATGCTTATTATTTACTCTGGTTTATACTATAGTCTATGCTGTATACTCTGAAATTGGATTCCCTTGCCGTCAGCATTTTGTAGCATTCACTGAGTCATAACATTGTTAACAGTATGACAAGATCAGACTATTCAAATTTGATACAGATTTGAGTTTTTTTATTATTGTTAAATATTGATTATAAAAATATAGACTCTCTAATCTTGACCCAACAAACACAAAATCATGACCGAGTGAATGCGTTTTTTTACCGACTGTAGTGAATCGGAATCCGGATTTGATTGTTATCAAACTCATGAGTGGTAACATCATGTTCTAATTCTGAGTAAGCTGTCAATAAATATACAATAATCTTATGAATTATATGTGTAGTACTTTAATTTCAGTTATATTTTTTCATTTTTATTTATTTTCTGAAGTTTTGTGGTGAATTCGTTTATCTAATCTATTGTATGTTTGGACCAGCGTTCCAATTGCCAATATCATATTTCAATGCACTTTTTACTATGATTTAAAGAAGCTCTAAGTCTTAACTTCTGCTATAATTTCAAGAAGTTCCAACTTCCAAGTCTTACCTTATGTTATAATGTAGTTTTTTGATGCTAATGCTATAATGTGGTTTTTTGACGCGATTTGATTGAAAAATAAAACTTAAAAAGGAACAAAAGTGATTTTTAAAATTGAGATAGAAAAAGGCTAAATAGAGAAATTAAAGTTGCAATTAAAGTATGATTTTTTTTTTTGTTTCTTTGATGAAGTTGTGTGTGTTTTTTAAAGTGTTTTCTTAAGAGGTTTTAATGAGTTTTTGAATTTTTCTCATAAATAGTAATTATAACATTTTCTAACGTAAAGAACTAAATAAGGATCCAAATTATTTTTAAACATTGTTACCTTAAATTGTTAAGAGAGCTAGTAAATAGTTTATATATAAATACAGAACAACGGAACAAATTTGCACGATCAACTCATCCAATTAGAAAAATTATACGCAACATTCCTACACTCTTATTTTTGTCATTTAATTTTTATTTTTATACTAGTTCAGTCGGATAACATTCACAGCATTACAGCTAGTATAAATTAATATTATCTACCAACTGATATTCTTTTATCCAAATAATATATTTAAAAACAAAGTTAACATAAGAAAATATGATAACGAAACATGTTAACAAATTGAAAATTATAAACTTGATAAGGAAACATGACAACATCTTGATAAGGAAACATGACAACATCTTGAAAATTATCTTTCAAGTAAATAAACCATAAACGCTTTAACTTCATTATTGCATTAATCAGTCAATAACAACATTTGCAATCTTACAACTAGATGAAGAAATATGTCAAATTATATATTATTTATTCGAAAATGCAAAAAAACACAATCAAGGTTGTGTTTCAATGATTCATAAATTTATCAAGTTTAATAATCAATCATAAATTAAAATTTGTTTTAAAATCAAACCATAGGTTAAACATACCAATCATCAAAGATCTCCATTACAATTGATCTAAGTTATAGTCTTCGTGGAGTTTTTATACTGAATCACCATAGTTGATGCAAATGAGTTATGCTGGTATCAAACAGATTTACAACAATAAAAATCAAACATTTGAGAATTTGTATTGTTTTCATTTAAAGTAAATTGCAGTAAGTTAAATATTAAAAAAGATGCATACGTAAATTGTAGCATAAAAGAAAAGGTATTATTTGGAACACCTCCTTATACACAATATTTGGAGCAGCCAAATACGATACATTTTCCTTGTCATGTCTTAAGATTTTCAAATCACTTTTCTCACAACTCTTGAAATTGCAACATATAATTCGCCATGATTAAAAACATGAGTAGGCAAATACAATCTCACACTATCAAGTGATTGATCTTGGGATTTATTAATTGTCATTGTGTATGAGATAATGATTGGAAATTGTCTTCTGATCAACTTGAATGCCCAAGGTGATTCAAAAGGTGACATAGACATTTGGGGAATGTAAACCATGTTACCAATGTTCTTTCCGGACGTAATTTTTGCCTCAATGACACGATTTGCTAATCTTGTCACAATTAATCTTGTTTTATTGCACAACCCTTCAGCTTGGTCCAAATTTCTCATTAGCATAATGGGGGTTTCAACCTTCAATTTGATCTTATGATTTGGTAGACCTAATATTCTCAGCTTATTAAGAAATTCTGGAGTTAGCACTTCATAAACTTCATTATAATTGGTTTACGTTCTATCAATTGATTCGACACCCAGTTACTCTTTCTCTTCTCCTAAAAAATGTATAAAATTAAAATATGAAGACATTAGTGGAAGAATTTGATACAAAGAATTTTTATATGTATAAAATAATGTAAGTTAACACTTTTTACGTCGAATCAAGTTTAATACATCATGATTGATTTTGTCCACTACTTCAATGGTTGAAGCAAGAATAACTCTGCAATGCAAGAATTCTTCTTATTTGTAATTTTCTAATAGATTGAGATATGTGCTATAGACAATAGCCTTTATAGGATTATCAAAAGTTGATATTAATAACTATATCTACCAAACCATCATTTGGTTCACAAATCTTACCATCCACCACATTTAAAATCCATTTTGAGAATTCAGCTAGCTCTATAGAACTTGTATTCTCTAATCCTTGTTGAAGTCTCATATTTTTTGTTAGAGTTAAAATCTGACAATAATCTCATACATAAGATGAGATAATTGAAGCATGAACAATATCATAATGACCTCCTCTTAGAAAAACATGAAAAATCTGTCTAAAATTCCTCCCAAAACAACTACTTTGCCACCAAAAATTGTATTCTTAAGACCCTGACAAGTCATGACATCTTTAAGGGTTTTATCCAATGTCTCAAAATAGTTTTTATGAGACATAGGTGCTTCATCATATATTATCAAATGAGTTTCTTCCAATAACTGTGAATGTTCAGTATTTTTGTCAATGTTGCAAGTAGAGTTGTCAAGTGTTGGCACATGTATTTTGAACTTTGAGTGGGTTGTTCTTTCCACCTGACAATAATAACGAAGCTATCCCACTTGAAACAACAGTAAGAACAATTTTTTGCTGTGAACACAATGCACTTGATAGAGTTTTGCACATTAAATTTTTACCAGTCTCTTGATAACCATGTAGAAAAAACACCCCTCCTCTTTGATTGTTGACAGTCTCCATGATTTTATCAAAAATTGAATGTTGTTCATCTATCAATTATAATGCAAGGATTATCATTAAAAATTCAAAAATGTCATTTCCTGACACATGTTGGACACAAACACACAGTGTTACTAAAATTAATTACATGTAAGTGCACGAAATAGATCATGGAAATTTTTTCGTTCAGTATCAGCATTGTAATCACGTTCGTCATAAATTAGTCTGTTACTAACGTGCCTTATGACGTATGAATCTGGATAAGACATACCTTTAAATTCATGCAAACTTCTTCAGTTTGCTTGTAATAGATTCTCAATTTCAATTAATGTTAAGTTTTTTTATCTCTTCCTCGGTCAACTGCAAATATTTCAAAAATAAACCAAACAACACTTTATATAAACACCTTATAACTACATCTAAATGAATACCATACATGGAATTGCATTCATGGAACATCAACATTAAGCTACGACATGTAAAAGCTGCAAGTTCAATGTAATATATAACTTGTAGCCGAAGTTTAATAGCATTGCAAATCTTTAAAAAAAATAACAACAACATTTAATATGGTGGAAGAACCGACTTGTTTTTGCGTTTTATCACAAATGTTGCGGATAGCAAGAGTAGTCATCGACTTTTCTTTTATCCAATAAGGAAAGGGTGAAAAGAACAGGAAAGACCTTGAAGATTTTGAGTTCGGGGGGTAGGTTATGAAAAGGGAAGGTGTTAGCACCCTTTTCATCCGTAGTTATCTACAGACTCTTAATCACTAGCTCACTTTGTTTTGAAAATTGCTTTGTGAATATGTGTTTGAAATATTTTGAAAATTCCAATTGTAAGGCAAGACTTTGTAATGATTCTCGTATCTGTCCTCGAAAATGCGTACAAAGAGTTTGTTTTAAAAATATCTTTTGAAGAGTGTTTGTGAAAAGATGTTTTTGTTTTGAAAAGATTTGTGAGCAACCGATTACGAGCGATCTACCTACTTAAAGTCTTTCTTGTAATTTTCCTTCTCTTTTACATAGTGTTATCATACCATTAGTTAGTAGGAAGCCTTAT